AATATAATAATAATAATATTAATATAAATAATAATTATTATAATAATTAAAATAATAATAATATCAACGGGTAGTTTGTATGCTAACAATTGTTGAAAAGTTTCTTTCGTTTTTAAATTTGCAGTACCTTGGAAGAGCGATGATGATGATAACAACGGCTGCAACACTAAGAATGATGATGATGGTGGTGGTGGTATTTTGGAGGAAGTGAAACCGAAAGAAGATCGTGAAATTCCCGGTGATAAAAATAGACCGCTGGTAAAAGATTATAAATCTGTTAAAGATTATGGAAGGGTACTTTTTGACATTTTATTTTTCGTCCAGTTCTCATTTAAATTTTAAATAATTAATTATTTATTTTAAATAATTATTTATTCATTTCTTATTTGTTTAAATATTTATATTTTTAATTTGAAATTGTGAAAAAAACTTTTTTTGACAGAAAAAGAAGGCGAGCAAAATGTGTAGAAATAAGTATACATCGGTTAGAAAAAGGAAGAAGGGCAGGCACTCATCATCGTCATCATCATCGTCAGATGGTGATGATGATGATGATGACGACGACGGTGATGATAATGACAGAAGTTTAGGTAGGTAATGATGATGATGATGATATTATGTCGTAATTTAATTATAATTAATTAATAGCGCTATATTTACGGCCCTGTTTAAGAAGTCCTGTTTAGTTGTACTACTACTACTACTACTTCTACTACTACTACTACTACTACTACTACTACTACTACTACTACTATAATCATAATGATGACCATAACTAATTTTTCTCCCCAGTTGAATCAGAATCCGAACTAAGCATCGATGATGATGATGATGATGATGATGATGATGAATACAACGACGACGACGATGATAATGATGATTGCACCTTTAGAACCAATGATGATGATGATGATGATGGAGGAGAGGATGATGATGACGGGGAAGAAGAAGATGATGATGATGATGATAATGATAATAGAGTATCTACTTTACACATGAGATCGCCTGCTTATTGCAAGAAGCCAAACGTTCGCAAGAATAGTAGCGGTAATGGTAATGATAAAAGTAGTGGTGGTGGTAGTAGTAGTAGTAGTAGCAGTAGTAGTATTGATAATAGTTTCTATGATGACGTTGAGAATGACGACAATATTAGTAGTAATTACGCAACAACAACGACGACAACACCAACTCTATCGACTACAACAACAACATCAGCAACAACTATGACGTCATCATCAACCTCTACAACAACAACAACAACAATTTCCAAAACAACAACAGCGTCAGCCGGGTTTTACAACGTAAACGCTCCAGTGTTTAACAGTATCCAGTCCGTATATACACCAAACGTCGATACTGCACTTACGACGTCTTTACCATTGCCTCTGTCATCCTACCTGCTACATCAACAACAGCACCAACAACCTCAGTATTTTCATCAGCAGCTGCAACAACAACAACAACAGTTTTATCAACAAACATCACAGCAACTATTTCAACATCCTTCTCGATCTCAACTTTTTCAACTACAGCAACAACAACAACATCAGCAAAGCTACTATGATTATCGTCAACAACAACAACAACATCAGCAGCAACTACAACAACAGCAGCAACAACTTAATTACCCGTTTCTCGTCAACAGTTACAACACAGCAGCTACGGGCATCAATGATATATCCAATTCATGGCTGGAGGATATCACAATACTGCTTGGTAGAAAAATGATGATGACGACGACGAAGTGCGATAATGATAATGATGATGATGATGATGTCTACAGCAACAATAAGAATGGTGCAGGTGGTGGTGGTGATGATGATGATGTCTTGTTATCAAAACATGTGCCTATACCTCCAGGTTTGTGATGATGATGTTGGTGGTGATGGGATGGTGATGATGGTGCTAGAGTGCTGATGACGATGATAATGACGATGACAGGTTTCGAAGAGTCTTTGGAGCTGAGGCACATTCAAGAAATCAGTCAGAAGCTTGCCACATTCGATATTGATACGGACACGGATGTCAATCAAACTGATATAGGCTGGCAACTGTTTTCAATTTTTCTTATTATTACTATTTGTTATTATTATTATTATTGTTGTTGTTGTTATCAAGTTTAAATCATTTGTTAATTTGTTTGGTTCAACAGCTGAATCGGATGAAGAAAAGATAAAAGAAGATGATAGGTCGGTTCTTTTAGCATTTGGTTGGGTGTTGCTTTATGATTGGTTGTCATTTTTTTTAAAATCTTTTATATCATCTCCAGTCAATCAAAATTGAAGAAAAATCGAAACGAATTTCTACTGGCAAGCCTTTCAAGAAATGGATTGTTGCTGTCTGTCAAGGTGCTCTGTGATTGGTTGGCTGTCAATCCTGTTATTGTGGCTACATGCGCCAAGGTTAATATATCGTTGGCAGCTATTTATAGTATCTCATTCGTTATTAACTCTAGCCATTAGTATTTTAACTAGTGGTAAAAGATAATTTCATTAATAATCATCATAAATATAAGAATTTCAAATTCGATAGATTTTTTTGGAAGTAGATACTTTAAAATTAAATAGATGTTCTTGAAACTGAACCCTTTGAAATTAAACGCATGCGTAATAATTCATAATTGAAACTAAATGCTTTTGAAATTAAATAGATATCCTCTTCAATATGGTTCCGTCTGGCCACCTTATTAAACCTTCTTCCATCTGAGACCGACATAACCAGTAGCGCAACGTACGTCTCGTCTAATGCATTTTTCAAAAGAATTGTTGACACGGAGCTCTCCCAACTGGCGAAGACTCATCAAGAAATCTCGGAAAAACCCACAAGCTATTTATATCTACCTCTAATCGAAAATAAACACTTACGGGAATTTCCACCTCTAAAAAAAGCTTACAGTTTTATCGACATGAAATCTACTATCTTTCTGAACTCCATTCAACAGGTTTTGTCATATGGATTAATTTTTTATTCAGATAAACCGCTATAAAAATTAATAAAATCTTGCGTTGTGATATGGTTTTAGAGTCCTTTTATTAGTATCATTGGATATTATTGATCATAAGTTCACTTTTAAACAATTGTTTTTTCTTTCTAAAAATAGGTCGTGCTGAGGATTTGCAGGATGCGCCACTTCGGTAGGCAGATGTCGACCTTGAAAGAATTGAAATTTACATTCAATTCGGAAACAGGGATGTACCATAGTCGCAATTTTCAGGACGGAGATGATGATGAGGATGAAGTTGGTGATAATGATGATGATAGTAGTATCAGGGTCACCGCTAATGATGATGATAATGATGATGATGATGATGTGAAGAAAGTTTTCAACATGAATATCAACAGCAGCCAGAATGATCCTAACCTCATTGAGAAGAAAATGGTTCGTGATGATGATGATGAAGATGGTGATAATGATGATGATTGTCATTATTATTATTATAATTATTATTATTATTATTGTTGTTGTTGTTAGCTGGACATGGAAGCGAAGAGAAACCAGTTAATGAGGGACATGGCTCAATTGCGACTCCAGTCTGAAGTTGATAAGTTGCAGGGTTAGGGTTATTCTTTCCTTCATTCTTTCCTGCTTTCATTTTTCCGTGAATAAAAATGTTTGTTTTGATTTAACTCCTCCTACTTACTTACCGCTCAGGATCTCTCGTCCAATCATATCCACCGTATTTAGTGGCCGACGTAACGTCACTGTGCGACGGATGGCACCTGATCAAGCAGATGTCACTTTCCGGCAGATTCATCGTCATCATACCATTGGCTGGTTAGTTTAAGACGGACGAATGCGATTGTTTGGCTGATTTGAAAAACAATTTTGATCAAAAAATTTGCTCATTGACGGAAAGGTTGTTGATTGAAGCGGGAGATGTATTTTCTTTTTTAATTTACCAACCAATCAGTCATCCATTCAATCAACTGTTAAATCAATCAACCAACCAATCAGTTATCGACCAATTGGATGTTATGAAGAAAGATTCTGTGAAAGCCAGAAATGCAATAAGGTGGATGGAATTTGAGTTGAAGAAGGGTGGAAGGTATTGCTTTTTTTTTATAGTGTATATATACAACATATATAGCATTCATTGATTGATTGATTGAAATAAGCCAAAAACTAATGAATTACGTTTCGGGGTCAGAACGCGATCAGATGCAGATTATTATTATTTATTTTTATTATTTCTGTTATAATATTACATGTATAATAATAACAATAAAAATAATAATAATAATTTTAGTAATAATAATATAATAATAAACACAGGTACTTGAGAGTCCAGAAACAGCATGAAACTTTACTTCAATCAACCAGCACGCCCCGAAGGGGTAAAGATGATAAAGTCACATGGTCTGCTCGTCTTCAACATAATTTGCATATCATTAGCATAATTTGTTGCATATCATTCGCCTATTTTGCATATCATTAGCTAAATAGTTTTGCACACCGTTTTGCACTAAATTTTCGTTAAGTTGTTACTAACGTAATTTGCTTTTCGCCATAATAATTTGCATATTGTTAGTTTAATAATTAGCGAATCATTAACATAGTTTGCTTACTAATTAGTATGTTATTTAACTACTAAACATTTCAGGAGACACATAAAAGTTATAGACTGCTGTGAATTCATTTTAAAGAACAATGCCAAATCAATAGGCAAAGATGATGACAATGGCGAAGCTAATAAAAGTAATAATAATAGTAATAATAATGGTAATGACAACAACAAGATTGGACAGGAGGATGATGATGATGACAACATCGAAGATTTGAAAGTTAAATTAGTCGCTCCATCATCATCATCACAAGCGACGTCATCATCATCACCAATAGTTTGCCTACTTAGCAGCTCTTTTTCTGTGCATAGTAAGGAGTTGAACTATAGTCTTAAGGACGCCTTGACTAGGGCTATCAACAACGGTAAATTCATTACTACATGTTCATAATTATTGTTATTTTTATAACTATTTTATTTTTATAACTGGTATTGTTATTATTATTATTATTGTTGTTGTTGTTATTGTTATTATTATAATCATTAAAAATATGAGAATTATCTTATTTTGGTTCTTAAAATTTTATCACTTCGAAGGACTTCACGTCGAATGTGTCAATCACTTTCACAAGCGCTGGAAAGAATCTAACAGCAGTAATAATAAGAAGATTAATAATAAAAATAACAGTAATAATAATAACGATAAAAATTGCATCAAAAAGAAATACCGTCCGCCGATTAGGAAATAAACTTGAAACAATTTTAATTTTTTTTTCTGTCCAATAAACCTCTTAGCATTGCTGCAAACGGTTTTCGTTTGTTATATTGTTTATTTGCAATAATTTTATGAGGAGTTTTACGATTTGTTATGTTGTAAAGTGTAAAGATATGTGGTTGTAAAAAGTGCTTGTAAAGTTAGAGTATTTGTATGTGGGTATATATATTTGTATTACAATTGTATAACGCATGTTGTAAATGTTACATATATAGTATATATACGTTTGTACGTTCATTAAAACGTGTGCAATAGATCTGCAGTTTATTATTTTTTGTGTCTTTGTTTTCAAAAATCTGACAGGCGTTCCATAGTCTGTAATAATAATATTACAAGATTTCTTTGTTTACTAATTATATATAATATCGGCGGTATACAAACTAACGCAAAGTTCCATTTTTGCACGATTTGTGATTAGTGGATCGTGGGGACTGAGGCGATTGAACGTTTGCTACATATTTTACGTCAACTATATTATTATTTAATTTTTTATTAGGAGTCGAGATTTTTAAATTTCTGTCCTAATTAAAATTAAGCATTTTCTGTCTTTTCAAATTTGCTCAGCTGTGTTAGTAGTGTGGGGGTCGATCGACTCTACATAGTTCTTCACTAATTAGGAAAAATGTTTCCGGGGAATCGGATGCAGGTTTGCAATCATTGTTCTTATATATTAAAATGGATAGATTTGTTACATAAGGAAATCTTGCTTGATTCTCCAGTTAAATTGTTAAATTAAAACATAATTTTAATTTATAATATTTATTTAATTTAAAAGTTTATTTAAAAGTTCTATCTAACTGTTCTATCTAAATGTTCTATCTAAATACCTTCCGTCAAATTTACCCTCATACTCTATTCTTTTATTAATTTTGTTTCATTTTTATTCAATTCTATCAAAAACTTCTTGATCTTTAATCTTAACGTCAATCACATACTAAAAATAAATTAAACATTTCACTTTTGATCTTCTCTACTTTATACAGAATCCTCCCCAGAATTCACTAACCAGTACTAATCAGAATGGGGCAGATAGATTCAAGTTCACCGTTTTAGAAACCTTAGACAGCATCAAAGAGGAGTTTACGTTCTTGCAATCACAGTATCACAAGTATTTAGGATTTTTTTTTAGTTTAGGACTGGGGTCATTTTTTAATTTATAAATAAATTTTTATTTATATATTATAATAATATAATTAATGAGTTATTTACTTAAAAATAATTTTAATTTTTGCCAGTTTGAAGCTGGAATATGACAAGCTGACCGCAGAGAAAGCCGAGATGCAACGGCATTATGTCATGGTTTGTTTATAATTATTTTTATTATGAAATATAATTTTTATTATAAAATTTCACAATTATTATCCTGATATTATCATCACATTTCTGTTAGTCATTATTTTTAATAATGGCTTTATTTTAAATGCTAAATAAATTCCCACCAATAAGCAGTACTACGAGATGTCGTACGGCCTCAACACTGAGATACACAAGCAGGTAGAGTAAATTATCTCATTATAATATGATTATAGTAATTAGGATTAATTAATGATTATGATTTTAGCATTTATAATATTAAGTAATATTAATCATGATAATATTTATTGTAATAATAATTTTCATGTATTTTTGTAGGCAGAAATAGTAAAACGATTGAACGCCATATGCATGCAGATCGTACCATATTTGTCTCAAGAGGTTGGTTAATAATATGCTAATGATGAGTGATGTCACATTATAAATTATGCTAATGAGGAATGGTGTCTTAATAATAATTTTGCTGATGGGAATGATGTTGCTCATTATTGATTATGCAAATGGGGATGCCACACAATTATTAATTATGCAAATGGTGTTAATTTTATTCAATTTTTTCTTTTTATAGCATCAACAACAAGTTTTAACAGCCATAAAAAGAGCAAGTCAGATCTCCATACAGGATCTCAACATAATGGGGGTTATTATTAATTTATTGGGAGTTCATCATGAATTAACTAACTTCAATTAATGCTGCAGTTATTTACTTCATTCATTATTTCTTAATCTTTACTACTATTTACCAGTTTCACGCTTCATGATCATTAATTAGCTAGTTTTTACCTCAGGAATATTAATTGACGAGTTTTTCACCTTATGATTATTAATTAGCTAGTTTAATATCAATTTATTCATGATTAAAGGGCCTGGATGTGAAGCAGATGTATGGGCAGCAGCAAGATTGGATGAGTCAGTTCAAGAATGCAGACCTCAGGCAGATGTACATGAACGCTCAGAATGAGTGGATGAGCCAAGTCGGGGTTTGTATAATTTTTTTTTATTTATTATTTTGCAGTTTTGTTATTTTGTCACAAAATTGTCACATTTCTATTCTCCTAATTTATAAGTTTTTTGTAAACTAAATTTTTTTCTATTTCTTAAAATACCACTTTTTTTAAATTTTCACTAATTTTTCCTGATCATAGATGAATCCACATGCTCTTCCTCCACATCTCGCGGGGGGTCCACATCCGGGTGTGGATATGGGATCTTTGTTGGGGAGACTGACTTCCTCTTCTTCCTCATCTTCATCTCTAATGGGGCTAGCCGGATTAGGCGGATCAGTAGTTGCAGGTGGCATGATAAAGGAGGAGAGAAATGGTGTAGAAAGAAATGTTGGTATCTTTGTATGGATTGGTATCTTTGTTACTAATTTGTTTTTGTTAGTTTGTATTTTGTATCATGATATTTTGTATGTGGTTGTGATTTTATACACATCACCATTTTGTTCATCTACTCATTAGCTTATCATCTTCGTATCTTCACCACCACTGCCAGGAAAGAACAAAAGGCAGCAACAGCAGCAGCAGCAGCAATAACATGAAGTCAAACAGCAGCAGCAACCACCCAGCTGCAACATCGTCATCGTCGTCAGCTGCCATCGGTAGTAGTAGTAGTGGCGGCGGTGGACCTGCTAATTCGTGGTCCCCTGAAATAAAGAAAGATGTTAAAAAGAGGAAGAAGGATGAAAAGGTAAGAGGAATGTGAATGACGGTGTTGTAAATAATGTTGTTGTAAATGGTGCTGTTCTAAATGATGCTGTTGTAAATGTTTGTGTTATTAATCAGGGTTTTTGGTTTTTTTTTCTGATTGACATTAGAGTGATTACAATACTAACTTTGATCATTTCCAGGAAAGTGACGGAGAGAGAAGCGATCAAGACCTCGTAGTCGATGATAACGTAAGTGATGTTTCTACCATCATCATCATCATCATCACCATCATCAAGTTTATTATCATTCATCACCCGTCGTCGTCATCATCATGGTCGTCCTCATCATCATCTTGATTTTGATTGGTGTGAAGATTACCATTGTTATTATCATCACTATTACCATGGTCACCATCATCATCAACAACTTTGTAGTTACCTCCAATGGCGATTGCCAATGGGAGAAGGTCGCCAAAAAGATCAACCAACCCTAACATAAAGAAACCTAGCTCTCCAGCCAGAGTTGGTTTTTAGTTGGTGGCCATCATCATCAACATCAATTTTATCATCATCCACTTTCTTGTCATCTTTTCATCATGGATATCACTATCTAGTTAAAGCATTTAGATTTTATTTTTTTTATAAAATTACTTCAATATTTCTTCACATCATCTTTTTAATCCTAATCCTGACCCTACATTACATTACTTCAGGATCGACCAGGAACCGGAAACGGCCGCCATTCTACAAATTCCTCGACCTCCAGTTCGCCAAAACCTCTCAAGCCCCTTCTAAATTCCAAGCATCAATCCCAGCAACACCAACAGACATCGGAGAGCAGCAGATCGCCATTCATCAGCACATCATCCCTGCCGCGAATTTCGGACCCAAGCAATGCAACCAGCAATGAAAATGGCGGTAGGGACTCAACTTCACCGAAAAACGATCGCGGGCCGACATCAAAGTACATTAAAGTAAAGCCATACGCGTTTCAAGTCGTTGGGCCCAAAACTTTACAACCGATTTGGTTCCACCCGGACATGTTAGGGGGTCCGGGTATTCCCCAAGAGATAAAACCCCTCGGTATTTTGCCACAGGGTGAGGTGGTCTGCGCCATTGCACTAAGTAACCCGGTTCAAAATGTTTTCACTGGTGGCAAGGTGAGAATTTGTTTGTTTGTTTGTTTCATAGTGGTTCGTTGGCTGTGTCAGTTGTTTGGAAGATTGAACGGATGAATGAATTTAAGGATAATTTTCTTATGAATGAATGAATGAATGAATGAATGAATGAATGAATGAAAGAATGAATGAATGAATGAATGAATGAATTGATTGAAACATGAGTAAATTCGTTTCAAAACGGTAGTGACAAGAACTCTGATAAATAAATTTTTACAGGGTTGTGTCAAAGTTTGGGACATAAATTCCGTCGGCAAGTCATCTCACATCCACCAACTCAACTGTCTGGTATGTTTTCCTCTCTCTCACCTCTTATTATTATTCATTTAATCAGTCATAAAATTCTTCAATTAACTTTAATTTCACTTTTACTCACAGTCTTCTGATAGCTACATAAGATCAGTGAAGTTACTGAACGACGGCGTTACACTAATCGTAGGTGGGGAGGCCAATACACTAACTGTCTGGGATCTGGCTGCTGTTAGTAAACTTTACCTAATTTTCATTTTTCCATGCTATTTTTGCTTTACTAAAAAAATAAATCATGAAAATAGATAATATTCAATTTAATAACACTATTCCACTGATGAAAACTTAAATAATAATCTTCTATCTTCAATGCAGCCAACCCCTGTTATAAAAGGAGAGCTGACATCCGGAGCTCAGGCATGTTACGCAATGGCTGTTTCTCACGACTCGAGACTCTGCTACAGCTGCTACAGTGACGGCAACGTGGCCATCTGGGATGTACATAATAATGAAATTGTCAAGTTTGTGATGTTTCAGTTTCCTTTGTTTCATTCATATATTCCCTCACCCCCTTTTACTATCAATCAATATACAATATAGTCATTGATCTTCTCTTCGATCTACTTTTTTACTGCTTTCTTACTTCAAACGATATTTATAATCTTTTATTCATTTTTTTCATTCACTCAAGCATTCATTTCCTTTATCAATCATTTATCCTTTCATCCACCCATCCACTAATTCTTAACTTCAAAAGAACGAATCTTCCATCAAATCATTCATCTTTCCATCAACCTATCCACTAATCACTAACTATGAACAACCAAAAAACAGACAATTCCAAGGGCACAGCGATGGAGCCAGCTGCATAGACATCTCCCCAGACGGCACCAACATTTGGACCGGCGGCCTAGACAACACGGTTAAACAGTGGGACATAAGAGGAGTGGGAGGAGGGGAAGAGAGGGCTGGCTCGGGCGACAACCCCCTACAGAAATACGAGTACATGTCTCAGGTGTTCTCCCTCGGTGTTTCTCCACTCGGTGAATGGATAGCGATAGGATTGGAATCGGCTGAAATTCGTCTGACGAACACAATAACCCAGGACTCCTACCAGGTCATCCTGCACACCAGTTGCATTCTCACTCTCAAGTACTCGCCAGATGGGCTGTGGTTTATATCGGCCGGCAAAGATAATGGTCTGTTTGGCTGGAAGGCTCCCTACGGCATTAACCTCTTCCAGGTTTGTGTTTCTTTGTTGGTGTTTTTGTTGTTGTTGTGGTTGTTGTTGTGGTTGTTGTTGTGGTTGTTGTTGTTGTTGGTGGTGTTGTTGTTGTTGGTGGTGTTGTTGTTGTTGGTGGTGGTGTGCGTCTGTTGTTTGGTTGTTTGCTCGTGACGTTTGATGATGTTTTGTAGCTAACTACTACTGTTAATGATTAATAACATTAATTAAAATTACGACATCAACACTACAAATTAATATCCTCTAAACATTTAATAAAACCCAACAACGACGAAACATAAACTCCGATTGACCACAGAATAAAGAGCAAACTTCAATACTCTGCTGCGACATATCAAACGACAACAAGTACATCGTAACTGGCTCTGGGGATAAGAAAGCCACAGTGTATGAAGTCATCTACTGACTGCTTCTACTAATGAGGATGATGATGATGATGAGGAAGATGATTGGGATGATGATGATGATGAGAAAGAAGATGATGATGCTGATGATAAAGACAACGCAGAAAAAGGTGGTGATGTTGGAGATTGCGTTCACAGAGTACGATGATTCGGTTTGATGGTGATGTATATATATGATATATATATATATATTCATGGTGATGATGTTGATCCATGCTGCCTGTACGATGGAGTTGTTGTTACTGTTGGTTGTTTATGCTTATTGATTTGACTATTTCCACAACAACAACAACATCAATGAATGTTGTTGATCTTATTGACGATAAATATGTCTTGATGATGATGAAAAAAAGTAATGGTGATGATGAAAAAAAGTAGTGGTGAAGATGATGATGATGTCCTGGCTTCTAATGCTAACGGTGAATATGTAATTAATTTTTTTTCATTATTGTCTGACATATATATATATATATAATATATGTATATATATACATGTGTATGCATTATTTATATATAGATGTATGTATGTGTGTACATATATAGTGTTGTATAATATATTATATGTATATATGCGCATGTCTATATATATATATGGTTCAGACCGTCATATATTTAGTTATTCAGAAATGTCACCGCATTTTCCGAATTGTTGAGTTTGTAACTAAGTTTTTCAATTTTTCGAACAATCATTTTATGGTAAATTTTTTTTTTGTCTTCTAATTCTCTATACAATGCATCACAGTCATCTGTAATGTTCCTAGTCCGTAAATATATATATATATATAGAGAGAGAGAGAGAGAGAAAGAGAAAGAGTGAGAGAAAAAGATTTACTATGTACAATTTTGACAGTCTTCTATTATAATTTTATTATGTAGATACATTATATATGTGTATATAATTGACAGTATGTTTTATTATATGTATATATATATATAACCAAATATAGTATATATATATAACAAAATACATATATAAGTATACGTATTTTGTTGAATTTGATTAGGCTGTTGCTTTTCTTTTTCAAGCTTTCCAAGTTTGGTAAGATTGATGGGAAGGGAAGATCTGATAACTTTAGTCGAATTCCAGAAATATATATATATATATATATATATACACACGTGATGTGTGTGTTAGTGTGTGAATGTGTGTGTAGACTATTTTTGTATGTTATAATAAAATATTAATATGTTGAAATATTTCAATGATTATTTGTCAGTTGAAAATCGTAATAAAATTTCACCAAAATTATTAACTATAATCATTGATATGATATTTGTGGTAGCTATCTTATTAGTACTAGCATTGGTAGTAAATTGTAACATGTTTTTTTAAATACTTTCAAATGAGAAGAAATTGTGGCTGATGAGAAACGAGTGAGTGAATAGATTGTTTTCTTTTTTGTATGAATGAATGAATGAATGAATGAATGTGTAAATCGTATTCATTTTAAAACAAATTATTTCATTTTTGTATGGATTGTATTCATTTTTGAATAATTGAATGGGAAAGTTTTATTCATTGTTGTAGCAGAAAAAATGAACGAACGAACGAACGAACGAATGAACAATTTAATAACTATTAACTAACGCCATCAGTCAAAAAATTGATTTATTAATACATTCTATACATACACTTCTATCTATGTTACTTTGTACGTAGTAGTTTGTGCGAGTTTGTGTTTGTATGTCTGTTTGTATGTCTGTAGGTTTGTATGTCTGTAGGTTTGTATGTCTGTTTGTATGCATGTTTGTATGTATGTCTGTTTGTATGTATGTAGGTTTGTATGCATGTTTGTATGTATGTAGGTTTGTATGTCTGTTTGTATGCATGTTTGTATGTATGTAGGTTTGTATGTCTGTTTGTATGTGCATGTACGTACTGTATATATAATACATGTTTAGTTCCGTCACAAACTCAATTTTCCCTCTCCCAAATGAAGTAATAATGGGTGGTAATAAAATACTATTCTATTTGTCATAATTAAATAATATTATTACCATTATAAATATAATTTATTATTATATTTAAGAGTAATATTACCCACTGATATTATTTTCATTATTTATAATCGTTGTCATATTTTGTATTGATATGGATCAATGTCATTACGAATGTTACTGATAACATTATATGCGTATTATTCGTTTGTATTCATTAAATATCATGGAATCCACACCCACACAGGTAGAATCATACATACACATACAAACAAACACATACATACAGACATACATGCACTATTTTCTATTCTATAAATAGCTAGCTCTCTTCTCTAGTCAACTGTTCATTGTTATTAATTAATTATTTATTTAATTAATTAATTAATTATTTGGATAATTAGTTAGCTAATTATGATTTCTTCATTTATATATTTATACATTTCATATAAATCTTTGTCATTATCATCAACATATTGTTTCTACTTTTATATATTATACTATATATAATATATATATATAATTTATAATATATATTATATATAATATTTATAATATAGATATTATTAACAGCCTTAGTAATATCAATAAAGTAATGTCAATAGTATTAATCAATATAATATGATAATATGGATGCTATTTATAATAATGGAAATAACAAATATCATTTTCTATCACCCATCCAAGTCCCAGTCACAATTAAGCCTGCTTAACTTGAATAATTAAGCATCTCATGATTTTATTAAAATCAATAATACTTAAATTAACTTTTATCTTTATGATTCTTTGCACTAATTTTGAGAAAAAACACTATCAGTCGTTCGATTGTCCCAAAATCAAAAATTTTGTTCTTTTTGTCATCATCCACATATAATTGAAATTTAAATTGATTAATATTATCTTTCGTTTTTCCAGTCACATCACATCAATAGTTCCTTATTTTTCTGTATTCTAGTTTATGTCCCTAACTCAACTGTTAAAAATTTTAACTTAAAATTAAAACTACAAACTAAACTGTGATGCATGATGAACTGAAATTTTTTGAGCTAGTGGTTTTGGTTCAGGCACGCATGCCGTTCAATACATTTTTTGACCATTATTAAGACATAATTTTTATCAAATTTATAATACAAATTATTATATTTTGAACATTTAAAGTTGAAATTTGTAAAAAAAACAAAATTAAGTGGAAAACAATTTTTGAAGTCCGGAGGTCTGGAGCACTTGCGTTGTCATAGAAATTTCTGTTTTTTGTGTAAAAGTAAATTAAAATAATAAATGTACCATTGAGTTCAAGTTCATGAAAAAAATAAATTAAACTTTATAAATTTTACTTGAATAAAACCAAAATCTATAAAAAAAATATAACAACTAAACATTTATCAATTCAAAAAAAATTTTGTATTTCAAAAACTCAGGTTTTTATAATTTTGAACAACATTTTTTTGAAAAAAAAATTTCAATGCATTTTACGGTAGAAAGAATAGTTTTAAAAATTGCCGTTTTCAGAAATAAATCTGCTAACAAAATATCATTTCAAAATAAAGAACTAAAATATGCAGATGAATATAAATTTTTGGGAGTAATATTTGACAATAAATTAAACTTCATCCCCTACATAACAAAAACGAAAATCAAATACCAAAAAGCTCTAAACCTAATTAAAACAATATCACATTCTAATTGGGGGGCGGATCAAAAAAATCTTTTAATAATTTATAGAAACACAGTAAGATCCATCATTGATTATGGCTGTCATGTGTATGGTGCGGCCAGAAACTCTTACATCAAAACAATTGATCCAATAATTAATGAAGCATTAAGACGATGCCTTGGAGCCTATGGCACATCACCTGCAGAGAGTATGCATGTCTTGGCAGCAGAACTACCAAGATATTTAAGACAGCTAAAATTATCTTTAAATTATTTTATCAAGATCAAATCCCAAGTAAACAACCCAGCATATAAATACATGATTCCAACAAAAAACATGGTCAACATCAAAGAGTTAAAGGCAATACCAACAATAGATGAAAGGCTGAAAAAGTATCTTAAAATGTTGAAAGAGATAAAGATAAAACAAGAAATAATATCAGAAGTGGCTCCATGGACAATGAAGATACCAGAAATAGACCTATCAATCACCAAAAATGAAAAAAACACAGAAGAATGCAAAATAAAATATCATGAAATTATAGAAACAAATCAAAATTGTATAGCAATATACACTGATGGTTCCAAAAAGGCAAATTCAACATCATCAGCAGTTGTGATTCCCAGCAAAAAGCATACAATACTACAACATTTACCCCAATATGCATCAATATACACAGCGGAACTCACAGCAATAGAAATGGCACTTAACTATATTATAAGAGACTCCTTATCTAGCCTAATAGCAATAAAACATAATAGACCCAATAACCCATTAATAATAGTGATTCAAAATTTAATACATCAAAACATAATAACAAATAACAATAATATCAAGATGGTGTGGGTACCAAGTCATATTGGAATAAAAGAAAATGAAAAAGCAGATACAGCAGCGAATTTAGCTCATGGTTTTCCAATATCTAATATACCAATACCATTTACTGACATCGAAAAAATAATAAAAGGGTACACCAACTCTCTATGGCAACAAGGATGGAATGAAACGAAAAAGTTTCTCAAAATATCAACTCCGAAAATCCCGATGAAAGAATTAAAAACTATAAATATGCCGAGACTACATCAAACAGTTGTAAATAAAATAAAGATTGGTCACACAAAAATAACTCACTCATGGATATTAGAAAAAATGATGCAAAAAAACTGAGACATGCAGAACAAAACTGACAGTTCATCACATCATCCTTGAGTGTATCAAATATAGTGACCAAAGAAAACGACATAACATTCCAACAAATATGCAAGAAGTAGTTCTTAACCAAATGAACATACAGAATTTAAAAAAATTTCTGATTGAGATTGATTTAATTCATAAAATTTAAGAAGAACGTTCTTACTAACTAAATAAAATTGAAAGAAGTGGGCGTGAAGATAGCCAATTTGTGCTGAA